ATTCAAGTGTGCTGATGACTGTTAGCTCTCCTGACTCTGTGTTTCCATTATGTCAGGCAGGATGCATTCAGTGGCAGGAAACCTTGACTGGAGGATGGAGTTTGAGCCCTGGCCCTGTCACTCACCTGAGGCTTGAGTAAGTCTGTCTCTGTGGGCATAGTTTTCACCTTTAGAACAGATGCAGATGATCCTCCTCATTGGTGCATTCTAAGGATTGTGTGAGGGGAGCCTGTGTTAGGTAACGGCCCAATCTCCAAGCAAGGCTCTCACAAACAAGGATCTTATTTCTTAGACATTGGGTCAGTGTAATAAAACCTTGTCATAGTATAACAAGTACAAAGGACTTTAAGATAGCCTCTCCTGTATTCAACACAAAGTAAAAAGCCCTAATGGTAGAGTAGTTAAATAACATGACCTATCTATAATTGATGATGAACTACCAGAAACCATGTATGAACTGCTGTATCTTTTTGGTCCTCAACTGCTTACAGTTTGCCAAGCACAGTTTTCCTGCTGTTGAATACTGTTTAAGTATAATTCTTAGACTATACTTCCTTTCAGTGACTATCAGTACACTCCAGGTACAGCCAACAACCTTATCCCATGACTTAGGGCCTCTGGAACCCCTCCTGAAGCTCCTTCCTCCTTTATTGGTGATGTACCTGCCCAGGCAACCTGGAACTCTGTATTGCTTTCTGGGCCATATACATGCTACTTCGTAAATTTCCAGAGAAGTGACTATTATTCATAGCTACATGTATCCTTACTATATATAGAGCTGGATACTTAGCTTACTAAATGCTTGTTGAAGATTGTGGGCATCCTTTATTATGACAAATATGATAATAAAGATGGTGATAGTTGCAACATCAAAAAATTAATAAAACAGCAAATAATAGTAAAACAACAATCAAAGCCATTGTTTGGGGGCCACTGTACAATAGCTAAGTGTACATGTTACCTAAACATTCTAATAGTCACATCCTATAGATGTTCTCCTTAGTCCATCTTATTGATAAAAACGGGTCTCAGATAAATGCAACAGCTTCCCTGGTGCTGGCTGATGGACACTTTCATTGATCTACCGACCGCTGCTGGGGATCTGCCACATCAGAGGGTTGGAGACATAACCTCCCCCTTATTCTCTGGGATCAGGGTCCTTCCGTTAGCCTCGCAGCAGAAAGCAAGGAGTCTCCTGATATAGGCGATGCAGCCAGAGAATGGCAAGCAGTAACAAGGCACGTGAAGCGTGTGAAGGGCTCTGCACTGATGGCAGTTATCACTCCACTTAGTGGAGAGGAGGTGTGCTAAAGAGACGGCAGTTGAATAGAGTCTGGACACGGAACAGCGCTGATCCATTTAACAGAGGCGGTGGATGTTTCAGGCAGGGGGCAGTGAGTGCAAAGGCCCTAAGGCAGGAGGATTCTCTGTGTCCAGCTCACAGGAAAGATGCCAGGTCGCTTGAGGGTAGGAACATTCTAGAGTAGAGAGTCTGTAAGGGTGCAGGGCAGGCTGACTTTTGCGGGCATGACCTAAACCCTGGCCCTTCATCCTGGTTCAGATGGGAAGCAATTAGACTGTTAGAGCCACAGCACCATGAGATCTGCTTGGAGCTGGTGCTTCTTCATTTTTTAAAAATATAATTTTTATTTAACTCCATATATTGAAAGTATTGCCATCTCAGCCTGCAAGCAATAGAAAACTGTTGACTTTCTGTTCTTTTCTGCACTGGGTCTTTGAAACCCGGTAAGTATGATTTCAGTTACAGACTGTCTCTGTTTAGGGAAGGTGATGGCTTCCTCACTGAGAGCAGGCAGCCCTTCAGTGGCAATACTCTCTCCTCAGCATCCATCACCTGCAGTACTTCTGGACCCTCACCTTGGCAAATTTCTTCCAGACCCATTTTCTCAGATGCTCTGTATTTCCTGCCACTCCCAGTTCCCTTCAGCATGGAGTATCCCACTTTCTCTGATTTATTTGAACTCACATAACATTTGCTTTGTTTCCCAATTCATCAGCAGACCAGGTCTAAGTATTTGTTGACCAGATGGATTAATAGAAATAAGCTATGTAAACTCATCCAGAATAAGACCAACTGCCATACAAAGTGTGGTCTTACCACTGCAGCAACAAATTTCAGAACAAGAGCATCCCTGCCCAGCTGTCTGGCTGTCTGGAAGCAGAAACTCAGGGGAGCTGAGGGCTGATGGGGTGCGTGCAGCAATTCTGGGTTGGCCCAGAGCCAGATCACCTTGGGCCCAGCTCTGTTCCTGAGAGAGGCATAACCTTGAGCAAGGCTCATTACTCCTCCAGGGAAGAGTCTCTTCGCCTATGCAGTGAGCAGACTGAATCTCACGGCTTCCATACTCATCCTGCCTGTCTTGGTTTGTTCTTAGGTTAGAAGCAAGGAGTGGAATTAGGAACTCCTTGTCTTCTTTCTCTTTGCTTGAATCTCAAAGGACAGACTGTGGGTCCTGGCAGATGCACTGTAAGTACTTTTGTATTAAAGGAGATCTTAAGGGACAAATTCTCCATGTTCTATGAATGTACCTTGACTTGGACTTGAGAATCACCCTCCCCTGCTATTCTTCTCTCTTCCCATCCATTCAAGCTTCTCTTGACAAAGACTTACTCTGTGTGCATATTCTCTTGACCTACCAAGGACCAGTTGTGCCACTAATTTGAACCTTTGGCCCTGCTAGGTTGAAGAAAAGAAGATTATGTGAGTTAAAGACCAAGTCAAAATACCAGAACATTTTTGAGAGTTCCAGTAAAGGAAGTAGGGGATTTTAGGAAGTAGTAGATGTATCAGACCCTGGAGATTCATTTCACCAAGTTTAGATTTTGTACTCTACAATATCAAGTTGTCCATCTATGGGATTCTGGAGGGAGAAGCAAACGGAGGCAGACACCCAGGCAATGGTGTTACAGCCCAAACCAGGAAGGAAAAGGGGGACGGGACCATGCCCACAGGCTTGTATTTGGATGGTCCCTTTATGAGAGATGGATTTTACACAACCTATTCTGATTTAGGTACCTCCTCCATACTTGGGTAGGAAGTCAGGACGAGATAGCAACAGAGGCACCTATCTACGGACATGTTTAGTACTGGCATGGACTTGTAAACCGGTGTCAATGGGATACGAATGGGTTCCTTCTGGCCCTCTGCAGGCTTGCCCTCCTCCTTCTCCACTTGGCTCTCCAAAACACTACTGGCTTCAACTGGTTTCTGACTACATGTCAGAAGGGAGGTAGGATAGGAGGGCTCTGCTGCCATGGAGGTGGTCTTTCCTCACGGTGTGATTCTGACTTGGTTTCCGTTCTCTCCCGTCTCAAGCCTAGCCTTCCTATGCTTCCTGCACCTCAGCCAGGCCTCTGCAGTGGACTCCATCATCCCAGCTGGAATGTCTCTTCCATTCTTGTCCCCCTCACCTCACTGGTATGCCCCCAGCCTTTTGAAATAAGATTTGAAAAGGATATTTTATTATTTGAAAGTTCCACATGTTTCTATAGTATCCACTGCTCTGTTTTCTGGGATTGCTTGCCTGATTAGCCTATTGGCCCTTCCTTTGTTAATTTTAGCTTTCTCTTTTCCTGTCACTCCTCAGTACTATTTCCATTTCCAGCATTTGTTTGTTTTCATCAAAAGATGTCTATTCTCACCATTGACAGCTTGTCATACATGATCAGCCTGAAATATTATATTCTCAATGCAAGCCTATCCCATGACACCCAAGGAAAGGCTTTGGGTTCATTTCTGCTTTGAATTCTGGCCATTCTTGCCTCACTGGTGCCTCGCCACATGGACGATTGTTTTCATGGAAGTTTTTTATGCCCACAGTTCAGAAGTTTATAGTTTCACATTGGTGTCTGGTATGTGTAGTTTTAGAAAAGACCCTGAAAATCTATCTGCCATAATTTCCAAGGTGGCAAAATGAGGCTAACATGACACTAACTTTACAGGGGTTTTGAGAGAATAAAAATGAATGCAGAGTTCTGTAAAATCCATGCTCTTTTCCACCAGGAACAGAAATGTCAATAAACAAGCCTTCTCTACCTCTACCCTACAGTGATCAGCTTCTAAGGTCATCATTTCATTAGCACTCTGGGCCAAATTTTAGTGTTCTGAGTTACTCTGTGTCAGGATCACTCCTAAGCACATGTTTGCCATCTGATCGCCATGAGGACAGTGTGTGACAGAACACTAAAGATGAGGAAAAAGAAGGGAATGGGGAAAGAGCGTGGCCCAGCTCAGGGCTCAGAGCCGCAACTGTCACCCAGGGTCCTAGATGGATTTTTATTTGGTCTTAATCTTGTCTTTGAAAGCCAGAGCATCCCCCTCAGCCAGGTTAGCCAAAACTAGTAGGATCTAAGTTTCTTCCAGAGTGATGGCCAGACAACTTCCAACTTTGTTATAACTGGAATCTGTATTTGTGACATACCTACCAGCTGCCTTAACAAGAGGCACCACACCATAGAAGGGGGGAGATTCTTCCCATTAGTTTTGAAAACCCTGTATGTATGACGTTCCCACCTCAAGGTAAACCACTGATTTCTGAACTTAGACTCCCAGTTCTCCATTCTCTGCCATAAACAACTGTGGTCCCCTGGTGCTCCACTTTGTTTTTTCTCTTTGGCTTTGTGATACCCAAAGGGAAAAACAGATCCTGTTTGGGGCTGGGGAGGGGAGGTCTCCTCCATTTTGAGAGGGGACTAGGAAGTTGTTGGACACAAAACCTAGGAAAGCTTGACCCAATTCTTTTTACTCCATGGTCTCACTTATGTACAATCCCTGTGACAGTGCATGAAGACACATCAGACAGATGACAACAGACTACAAAGAATGCCAAATAGTAAGTGACTGAAAACTTGCATTCTTGTTAAAAATTACCAAGTCTTATAATAACCCTTAGGTATGGTGCATTCCACCTGCCTGCCATGGGAGGGTGCTTGACCTCAGCATAACCAAGAACATCAATCTTATCTCGAGAGGGACTCACCTGAACTTAAGGCATTCTCCACTTCTTGCATGATCAGGAAGGGGGTGGTGGTCTCAGACTCACAGACCACTTTGCCATGCTCAGCATCTTGGGGTGACTTCTCCTTGGGTGCTGGTTCCGCTGTGCCATGAGAAGTGGGTGTGTGACTAGAGCTGTGACCTTCGGTTGGGGACCCGGGTGCCATCGCAGGTCCTGTGGGCTGGGTGCTGCTCACAGTGGAGCTGTGATTAGAGGTACTGGAGACAGACAGAGCCTCGGGTGGGGAAGTTGCTTGGGATGTGGATGTCGAGGTTGGCGCCTGAGAAGCAACGAGCGTGGGTGGCTGCGGCGAAGTGGAAGGCACACTTGTTTCTGGCACACTTGTTTCGGGACTACCAAGGCTGTGTTCCTTGGCTGTGGGTGTCGAGTGGACATTGCTGCTCGTTGAGGGGAAGCCGGTGGGTGAGAGGTCTGTGTTGCTGCCATTCTGCTTCAAAGATGGGCTGGTGACAGCCTCTTCTCTGGGGACAGTGGAAATGTTCTTGGGGAGCTGAGATGTCAGAGACGCAGCAGTCGTGGGGAGGACTGTGGCGTTGTGAGTGTCACTGGCCACGGGGATAGTGGTGGCCACAGCAGTGTTTTGAGCAGAGGTAGTCCAGGTGACTGTAGGTGGGGTGATCTTTGTTGTAAGAGAAACAGGCAAGGGGGCTGATGTCAGAGCACCCTGTACCCTCAATCCTATGAAAGAAAGAATCAGGACAAACACAGTTAATCACATGAAAATCATATATAAATATATTACACACACACATACACACACACTCACACACGAAACAGGTGGTCAACTGCACAGCTGTTTTATAGTATAATTCCAGGTATTTCTTTTTTCCCCACTGTGCAGGTGACATTGAATTGTGAAAGTGACTCCTCATGAATCCCTGCCCTTAATTTGTGACTCCCAGTAGAACCTGGTGTGAAACCCAGGAGCAAGTAGTGGATCAGTCAACTCAAGGCCAGCATCAGGTAGAAAGAAATAATCTTGTCTCCTGCTGGTTTAAATCACTGTCCTTAGAAGGTGAGGCCCTCTGATGAAACTCACAGCATTTGCTTGCGTGACTGAATGTCATTGCATAACACCTGCACACTGGGAATGCCAAGGGTGTGTGTGTGTGTGTGTGTGTGTGTGTGTGTGTGTGTGTGTGTGTGTGTGGTGGACAGTGAAATCAGTGACTGGCAGGAGTGTGGTAGAGTTTCAGAGGGGCCTTGGTGGCCCTGCTCCTATTTCAAAGCCAGAAAGGCCATGGAGAGCCTGGCTCCTCTCTCTGTCCCTTCTATATTGATGTAGCACGAGGCAGGGCTTGGTGGCTTTATAAGCATGCTCCTATGGAAGGAAGATAAGTTTCAGAGCAAAGCCCTCACTTGTGGTTTGAGAGTATCATTGGAATTCTAGACTGCTGTTTTTACAATCATGATTTTGCCAAATCACATTTTGTAAAGTTTAGAATTAATTCTTCCCTTATCCACTTTCCCTTGCTCCTAGCCTCTGTCAGTCATTCACTTTTATCATTCATTAATTAAGGTTAACCAATGACACTGGGCTCATGTCTCACTCTCCGTGTAACAATCTCTTGATTGTCTCTCTATAACATGCATCATCCCCAACCAGCTTTGCCTCTGGTCATTTCCACCTTAGTATAGAGAACTTCCATTTGCAAAATTCTCAGCCAAAAGTAGACATGCCATCCCCTCATACCCAAGTAAGTTTCTTCCTTGAACTATAACTTGACATAGCTCCCCTGTCATCATTATTATCTCAACTCTTAAACAACCTCTTGGCTTCTGGCTTTCTCCCAGAAGAATGCTCTCTGTTTTTCACATATAACCAAGAAAGTCTTTTAAGTTAATCTAAAAATCTTTTAAGGTGTTTTCTATTTTCCCTTTGTTTGAGACAAGGATTCACTATGTAGCCTGGCTGGCCTGGAACTCCACAGACTTACCCACTTCTGCCTCTTGAGCATTGAAATTAAAGGTGTGTGCTACCCCGTCTGGCTTCATTTTTCAACTGATCAAAACACTTTAAAAGCACTCTGTTGTGTTTAGAACAAAATCAGAAATACCCCGTGTCATCTTATGTTTTTCTCATTGTGATTAGCTTTTACTCAAAATCACCTCAGAAGCCCTTCTTAGACGATTCTAATTAAAATCATCCCCACTCCAGCTTCTTGTCATTTTTTAAAGTGTAAGAAAGACTACTGTGGTAAAAATCATAACTAATGTTTACCATCTTAACAATCTTCATGTGTAGCTCAGTGGCATTAAGTTTATTAACATTGTCTCAGAGGTGTCACCATCCATCTCTACAACCTTTTCATTTAGTCAGGCTCACATTCTCATTAAGCAGCTCCTCCCTCCCCACTCTTTGCAGTTCGTGCACAGGGTCTTTCTATATTCTGTGTGAAACTGATTGTCTAGGGGACTCATGAGAGTTGAATAATATAGGCTTGGTCCTTTTAATATACACTTATTTCACTTATCCCAAACTCTTCAACTCTTACCCATACAATAGTGTGCTCTAGAATGCCCCATCTATTGTTATCTATCTGTCTGTCTATCTATCTATCTATCTATCTATCTATCTATCTATCTATCTATCTATCTATCTATCTATCTATCCACCCACTCACCCACCCCTCTATTTATCTATTTATCTATCTATCTGTCTATCTATCTATCTATCCATCCATCCATCCACCCACCCACTCACCCACCCCTCTATCTATCTATCTATCTATCTATCTATCTATCTATCTATCTATCTATCTATTTATTCCACCTTGTATTTATCTGCTCATCATCCATGGACATGTGGTCTGCTCCTGTCTTTTGGCCCTTGAGAAGACTATTGCCATGGACACTAACGTGTGGATATCTGCTGTCTCCCTGCTTTCAGTTCCTTTGGGTATCTACCCCAGAGTGAGATTGCTGGGTCTTAGGGTAAACAAATTTTCATTTGTACCAACATGTAAGCTTAGTAAAGGCACAAAGACATGACATTATTCATTGTTGTTTTCCCAAGGACAGTGTCCAGGACACAGTTAATATTAAGTAAGTACTTGTAGAAGGCAGGCAGCAAAGAAGGAAGAGAAAACCAAATGCTTAAAACCTTCCTTCCTAAGGGGCTGGAGATACGGCTCAGTGATTAAGAGCACTGACCGTTCTTCCAGAGGACCCAGGTTTGATTCTCGGTATCCAAGGGGCAGCTCACAACTCCCTCTAAGTCCAGTTTCAAGGGGATCTGGTGCTGTCTTCTGGGCTCCGCAGGTACTGCATGCATGTGGTGTGCAGACATACAAGCATGCACATGCAGGCAAAACATTTTTTAAAAAGATAAAATAAAAACCATTCCCCATGATTACTCTTAACATTATCTGATCTATTCTACATGTCATTTGTCTATTAGCTGTGTCTACCACAGCTTTGTCAGGACAATTGCCTGTCTGATATTATTTGTTTCACTCTGTCTCTCTACTATAACGTATGCTATGACTCATGGTAGGTCCTCAACTATCTAACCCTATAGCCCTGAGGAGTCTTCTCCTGAGGATTCACAATGGTAAGGGCAGGCCTAAACAGTATTCAGTAAGAACAGAGCATGGGACAGATACCAGCAAAGAATTGGGGAAAAGACTAGAGGGGAGGCATTCGAAGAATCAGGATAGAATTTGTCACTTTGACTGACAGATGATAGATAGATAGATAGATAGATAGATAGATAGATAGACATATAGGTAGATGATAGATAAATAGATTATAGACAGACAGATGATAGATAGGTAGATGATAAATAGATGACAGATAAGACAGATGACAAAAGAGGGAGCTAATGAAATATGTACTACAGAGACTACACTAAACTTATCTTTTTGGAGGTCCTTTAAAATGACTGGTTTAATTTTATTTTAAAAACATTGGTCAGAGGCTGAGTGTTAGAAGAACTTGTCTTGCACTAATGAAGCCCCCCATTCAGGGACTGGCAAGGAAATAATTTTTTAAGGAGTTGGTTATGGATATGGATGATGAGACAATTACTCCATTAGAAAACAACAGGACATCTCTCCAAGCTTAGGTTACACAGTGAGTAGTACAGTCTGTTAGGTATCTTTTAGTAGCTGAGGAATCTTTAAAATATGGCAAAACAACAGTGGGATGGATATTAGTAAAGTATGGGACATTGCATGTTTCTCTGAAGCTTACTGCCTCTGTATCATGGCAGCTCCATGGCTGACTCAATTTTCTGAAGATGGAAATATGACGGTGGTTAAACGCATTTCAGAGCTTCATACATGAACAGATGGAGACATCAGCTTTGGTCTGGAAGCAGGGTCAAAGAATCTCTAGAAGTCTGAGACAAATTAGGACTCACCAAAAGAGCACAGATTCATTCATTCATTCATTTATCATTAATTAATTCATTAACTCATTCATCATTCATTCTTCCATTTATCATTCACCTCATTCATTCATCATTCACTCCCACATTCTTTCCAATGTTTGCTGACTAGTTTCTCTGTCCATAGTTTTGTCTTCAGAGTTCAGACACCATATCCAACTTCCTGTAATGTGATATGGTAAATGCTTTATAAAAGTAAAACTAAGTTTTATTTGAAGTCTCAAAAAAGATTAATAAATAACTCTGCACTACAGGATGTAAAAACATTCAAATGTCATTTTCAGTTGACATTTAGAAAAGTCACGGAAAAGATGATATTTGAGATGTTTCTAAAAGGATAAGAACATACATGATACCACCTAAGATGTGTGTTGTTCAGGATGACACTTGCATTGTTATACCCGGCAGAGCCAAAAGCTATTCTGTTATATTGTAGAGGTCTGAAAGGGACTGCTCCACACGCTGGTGTGTGGCTGGAGACCTCCACTCCCTTGTGTGGTTCTTACTAGTACATTTTCTGCTCCCATCCTGTCTGCTTCCAAAGAGCTCTAGAGGTGGCCATTTACTTCTTATGGCTACCTGCAGAGTACTTAAAGCACTTTGCGGTCCAGCTTGGACAATTTCTACTCGCAACCAAGCAATAATGCACAAAATTGCGTGACAATGTTGGGTACCATCACTTCCACAAGGCATTAAAAATCTCAGCTCTGCTGTATCGTCTGTATCCCATTTTTCAAAGGCAGATCTTCTTCTAGCATAAAGACATCCCAGATGAACATGCCACAACTGTCTTAGAGAATGTCACCTGAATTTGTTTTCTGGGTGGTGGTGGTGGTGGGTCTAACTAAATACCACAGACTGAGTGCTTAACACAAAGTATCTCAGTTGTAGAAGATGGGAAACCCAATATCATTGTGCTAGGCAATTTAGTTTAGTTTAGAGTGGTGAGGACACTCTTCCTGGCTCATAGATGGCCATCAACTAGATGTTCTCACAAGCCCTTCCTCTAGGAATTTGGGTGGAATAGCTAGCATTTCTCTGTCTCTCTTCTTTCTTCTACATCTTTTTTCTTCCTTTGAGATTGGATCTCACTTTGGAGCCCAAGCTGGCCTAGGTCTCATTATGTCACCCAGGTCAATCTTGAACTTGTGGGATGTTCTTCTGTCTCATCTTCCTGAGTGCTATGGTGTCTTTTACAAGGATACGAATCCCATCGGTAAGATCCCACTCTCTCGTATCCACACCCAACCTTAGCTAGCTCACAAAGGTCTGCCTCTAAGCATCATCA